AATAGAAAGCACCAATTGTTGCAAAATTCCCTTCCATCCTCTACCCTCCAACTACTGAATTCTCCTCTTATCAGGCAACCAAGGTTATCAGATTTTTGCTGTGTGCTCACAGATTCTGGGCTTCCCTGTAGTGCCTCAGCTGGTAAAGAATCTGCCTGTGACGCAGGAGACTTGGATTCGATCCCTGGGTTGGGAAGATCCCCTGGAGAAGGAAATGGCGACCCTCTCCAGTATTCTTCTTGCCTGGAGAATCCCATGGACAGAGGAGCCTGGCAGGCTACAGTCCATGGGGTCGCTAAGAGTTGGACATGACTGAGCTACTAACACTTTTACTTGCACAAAGATTCTCCGTATGCAGAACAAGCATGTTTTTTATTTTTCTGACATTAACACAAGGCATGATGCTGTCAAGTTTTGCGTTTTGCTATTTTTTTTTTTTTGCACAGTGATGTATCTTAGTAACTGGTCCATAACAGTTGCACAGAGGCACTCTGTCCTTTTTCATGGCTGTATAGTATTCCACAGCTAATATGCTTAAGTGTGAGTGGACATTTAGAGTGTGTCCATTCTCTTATTATGAATTCTGCTGACGTGAATAACTTGTTGGGGACGGTCTAGGGCTGTGAAGAGAGATGCTAGCGTGAGGCATCCAGGTCTCCATGTACCTGGACAGTGCAGACCTCCCCACTCTCTGTGCATTTGACAGCCTCCGCCTGGGTCATCTGAGAAATTCCTGAACGTGTGTGGATCATTGCTTCCTGCTTAGAGCTCATCTCCATACACTTAATAATAACAATAATATGACTCATATCGCCTTGATTCTGAACTGTTTTCAAAAATAAATTTTAAAAAAATTTAAAAATGAGATAGAAGCAACCTAAATGTTCATCAGCAGATGAAGGGATAAAGAAGATCTGGTATGTGTGTGTATATATATATATATATATATATGAATATTACTCAGCCGTGAAAAGGAACCATATAATGCCATGGATGCAACATGGATGGACTTGGAGATGATCATACTAAGTGAAGTCAGACAAAGACAAATACCATGTAGTATCACTTAGATGTGGCATCTAAAAAAATGATACAAATGAATTTATTTACAAAAGAGAAACAGACTCACAGACTTTAAAAACAAACTTAGGGTTACCTAAGATGGAAGGGTGAGGAGGGATTAATTAGGAGTTTCCAATTAACATACACACACTATTATATATAAAATAGATGACCAACAAGGACCTACTATGTATCACAGGGAACTATATTCAGTACTCTGTAATGATCTATATGGGAAAAGAATCTGAAAAAGAATATATATATATATATGTATATAGGCTTCCCAGGTGGTGCTAGTGGTAAAGAACCCTCCTGCCAATGCAGGAGACGTAAGAGATGAGGGTTTGATCTTTGGATCGGGAAGATCCCCTGGAGAAGGGAACGGCAACCCACTCCAGTACTGTTGCCTGGAGGGTCTCCGCGGACAGAGGAGCCCGGTGGGCCACAGTCCATGGGGTCGCACAGAGTCGGACATGACGGAAGGGCCTTAGCACGGAATGCATGTATAACTGGATCACTTTGCTGTATACCTGAGGCTGAGGCGACTTTGTAAATTAACCACCATCCGATATAAGATAAAAATCAAATTAAAAGATAAATGAGAGCTTATTCAGTGTACTGAGAAGAAGCACATAATATTTGACAACGCAGACGTTGAAAGCCCTGTGCACTCTTCCATCAGCCTCTTTCCTGGGCGGCAGAGGAGGCACGAATTTTCCATCCTGCTAATGGCTGTTGTAACTGCTCCATTCCGGGCTAAGAGGCTGACATTTAAGCGATAAATGTCACGTCCCGAAACCCAGCACAAAGAGACATTTCTACAGGACTGTTAAGAGCCCTTTTCACTTGCAAATTTCCAACCTGAACCCATCTCCGCGGGCTTGCATTATTCATATAATTTGGAAAATGACTCACCGTTCCTGAGTCGTGATTGTCTGCAGGGCACAAGCCTTGAAAGGTGCCACGAAGCAGCTCTTTCCAGCTTTTAAACAAGACAAATATTCACCTTTTTTTTCCCCCCTCTCAAGTGTTATGGGATTATATTTTCTTACAGCAAAGGATTGCTCACACATTTTTAAAAGTTTCCATAATGCTTCTCACTGGGAGATGTAAAATACAGGGTGGGGGGAAATGTGCCTCGAGCTTAACACACTAGTTCCCAGGTAATAAAGGAAGCAGGTCTCGCCAGGAAAAAACCACCACCGCCGCCCCTCCTCCAGAGATAAACACCGTGCCAGCTTTTAGGATAATAGCTCCCTGGGTGCTCCTCTTAGTTTCACCCGCCCAGTAAACCACTGTTGACTTCTGTTTGTAAAACAACAACCTTTTCATTTGTTAAAATGTTGGTAATCCTTGTTTTGTTCTGTTTCTTTCTTTCTTTTCTCCCAACTCCTCCACACCTCTCTCTTCTCTCCCATTTAAGGCGAATGAAACTGTTTTGTTTTTTTCTCCAGCATTGCTGGGATTCAAGTTGCTCCCTCTTTCTGAAAACCTTCACTGTGGCCCAATACACAGGACGTGAAATTTGCCCCCCACTATTTTCAGCGTGCATTCAGTACACTCACGTTGCACGGCAATGTTTCACTGCCTTTCACCTCCATAGCTCCTCCTCTTCCCCAACTGAAACTCTGTCCCCATTTCCCCTCTGCCAGACCCTGGGAGTCATCATCCTATCTTCTGTTTTTATGAATTTGGCTCCTCTGTTGTTGTTCAGTCTCTAGGTCGTGTCCCAGTCCTTGCGACCCCGTGGACTGCAGCACGCCAGGCTTCCCTGTCTTTCACTATCTCCTGAGTTTGTTCAAACCCATGTCCATTGAGTCGGTGATGCCATCCAACCATCTATCTCATCCTCTGTCGTCCCCTTCTCCTCCTGCCCTCAATCTTTCCCAGCATCAGGGTCTTTTCAAATGAGTCACCTCTTCCCATCAGGTGGACAAAGCACTGGAGTTTCAGCTTCAGCATCAGTCCTTCCAATGAACACCCAGGACTGATTTCCTTTAGGCTGGACTGGTTGGATCTCCTTGCAGTCCAAGGGACGCTCAAAGAGTCTTCTCCAGCCATGATTCAAAAGCATCAGTTCTTCAGCGTTCAGCCTTCTTTATGGTCCAGCTCTCCCAACTGTACTTGACTACTGGAAAAACCACAGCTTTGACTAGATGGACCTTTGTCAGCAAAGTGATGTCTCTGCTTTTTAATTCGATGTTTAGGTTTGTCATAGTTTTCCTTCCAAGGAGCAAGTGCCTTTTAATTTCATGGCTGCAGTCACCATCCACAGTGATTTTGGAGCCCAAGAAAAGAAAATCTGTCACTGCTTCCCTTTTTTTCCCCGTCTATTTGCTATGAAGTGATGAGACCAGATGCCATGATCTTAGTTTTTCTCATGTTGAGTTTTAAGCCAGCTGTTTCTCCTCCTCTTTAAAGATACTAATCGATATTTGTATAACAAGTGAGAGAAGGAAGGAGTAAATTAGTGAACGGTGAGAAGAGCTGATTTTCACGCCCCAGACACTTGTCCAACTGTTAGAAAGCTGTGCTTCTTGCCCCGCAAAGGCCAAACACACTGGTTTTGAGCCCGCCTCGGCCTGCAGCGGCTTGAAGCAGAGTTTTTATTCCCAGCCAGAAACTGAAATCAGGCTCAGGCAGTGAGAGCTGAATCCTAACCAGCAGACCAGTGGTCAGTGACAAGGCCCTGGCCCCTACGGCTTTGCAGAAAATGAAAATTCCCACAAAGAAACGGAAAGTAGTGAAACAACTCAGGTGTTTATTAGGAGGAAAAAGACCTCCGTACATGTGGATATACTCACGGGTGGACTCGGAGAGGGACTCGCACCCTCCTGGTGGTTAGAATTCTTGTGGCCAAAATCTTGGCCTTCTCTGCCACCCAAGCCGAATTAAAAAAAAAAAAAACACAAAAAACGGACAGAGTTTGGAGGAAACAGGTGACTTTAATTCTCGGCCGTGGAGGTTGGGAACACAGTAGGCTCACGCTGTGAGAACTGTGGCCCCCAATTCCGTGAAGAGGCTAGGGGCTCATATAAGACCAGGGCTCACAGTCAGGAGTCAGGACGGAGAACAAAGGCATCAGGGTCTTGGCTTCTTCCTCTCTGCATTATTTCAAAACCAGTCGTAGGCTGGCATTGGTAACCCAGTAATTGAGTCTGGTTATCCGTAGCCCTTCTTTCTGTAAAGCAGAGAGAGAAAAACTCGCAAGAGGTGGCCTGCAAAGACAAGACTGTAAAGGTGAGCGCCAGATACAGAAGGTCATTAGCATAGAGTCAGTGGATAGTAGGTGCAAGACGTGGCTCCTGCAGGCTTAGGGGGCAGAAAGGCAAACTTAGTTACAGATGACCGACTAGGAACAGCTCACATGAAAAGTAGGAGCAATCAGGCCTGCTCACTGTTGTCATTCAGTCGTTCAGCCGCTCAGTCATGTCCGACTCTTTGCAACCCCATGGACTACAGCACACCAGACTTCCCTGTCCTTCACCAGCTCCCAGAGTTTGCTCAAACTCATGTCCATCGAGCCAGTGATGCCATCCAACCGTCTCATCCTCTGTCATCCCCTTCTCCTTCTGCCTTCAATCTTTCCCATCATCAGGGTCTTTTCCAATGAGTCAGCTCTTCGCATCAGGTGGCCAAAGTATTGAAGCTTCAACTTCAGTCCTTCCAGTGAATATTCAGGACTGATTTCCTTTAGAATGGACTGGTTGGATCTCCTTGCAGTCCAAGGGACTCTCCAGAGTCTGCTCCAGCACCACGATTCAAAAGCATCAATTCCTCGACACTCAGCCTTCTTTGTTCTCGGGAAAGAAAACCTCATTCCTCTTTCTTCCTTTTCCCTGCAAGAGAATCACTTTTCTGGGGCATTTCCTCTGGATTTCCTCTGGCCAGTCATCTTGCTTTGCCTGGTTCTGAGTCTGTGTTTGGTTTAATCTCAGGTTCCGTCCCCATGCGTGTGGTCGTCTCTCAGCCAAGATGGATTCCGGTGACGAGGCCTATGGGTAGGTTAACATTCCTTTTCTGACCTCCAAGGGTCTCTGCAGTCGGGAGGCTCTCCTTGACCTCGAGAAGGAGAAGTATGCAGTCTCTTTTCTGGGCAGGCTCCCCTCCGCCTCCTCTTCGTCCTGCAGTCTGTCTGTAGGTGACAGACTCCAGCTGCTCTGCCAGAGGCTCATCTGTCTCTTGCCTCAGTTTTCTCCTTCTATAAAGCTATTCTCCAAAGACACGGTTTTTTTCTTTTTTTTTTTTTTTTTTTGCTGTACTGCATGGTATATGAGGTCTTAGTTCCCCAACCAGGAATTGAACCCTCACCTCCTGCACTGGAAGCCCAGGGTCCTAACCACTGGACTGCCAGTTGTTCAGTTGCTCTGTCATGTCCGACTCTTTGCGACCCCTTGGACTGCAGCACTCCAGGCTTCCCTGTCCTTCACTGTCTCCTGGAGTCGAAACTCATGTCCTGGGTTGGGAAGAAGGAAAGGCTACCCACTCCAGTATTCTGGCCTGGGTCGCAGAGAATCAGACACGACTGAGCAAATTTCACTTTCACTTTTTCACTTTCAGGTCCATTGAGTCGGTGATGCCGTCCAACCACCTCATCCTCTGCTGTCCCCTTCTCTTCCTGCTTTCAGTCTTCCCCAGCATCAGGGCCAGGCAAGTCCCCAAAGACACAATTTATTTAACACACATTGATACACAGTCCTCAGCCCCACAGACTGAAGTCTCAAGCCCATGCTTCCTCTCTGGACCTCCCAGTCAGGCCAGTTTCGGGGTCCCCTATTCCAGTGTCCACATTCCCTCTTCAAGCCCCTGGGTGATGGAAGCAGGCTCAGGTAGTTGCCATGGAAACCAGTGCTCCCGTGAGCTGCAAAATGATTTCTGAAATTAAGTATAAAAGCCAGGTCTGAACAACTCTGAGTGAAAGTGCTATTATTTGTTGTTAGAAAAAAAAAAGAAGAAGAAGAATTGAGGCTAGAAATAAATGCACATTCTCAAAGAATATAGAAGGACACACAAGAAAATTGTTCACTGGGAAGGGTGGGAAGAGATAGAAGAAGTGAGCAGTGTGGGAGGTATGTTTGTTTCTGCTTTATCATTTCTCTCCTGTTCTCATGCAAACAATCACCTTTCCTAAAATTAAAAATAAACACGAGCGTCTAGAAAATTGTAGCCACTGATACAAAGTTCTGAGTCCAGTCTTTCAGCTTGCACCAAAATTACTTCAGTGAAAGGTAGATGATATGATTACTAAATAACAAACAACAAAAACAACAGCAAAGTGCTTCTCTTTGGGAAAAATAAACCCAGGAGTGACTTTAATAAACCTAATAGAAATACCCATATTTCCATAAGCCATGTTGGAACAAACGATGAACTGTCAAGGGAGGGAGGCTCCCAAGGGAGGTGATATACATGTAGTTATGGCTGCTTCCGCTGTTGTATGGCAGAAACCAACCCAATGTTGTAAAGCAATTTTCCTCCAATTAAAAAATAAGTAAGCAAAAGAGTTAAATTGTCAGTAAAGAAGAAAGTAAGTATCTCAAGTGAATAATAAACTGCAAAAATTAACAAGTGAGTCATAAAGGGAAATGCAAAAACAATAAAGGAATATTACTTGGCCATAAAAAAAGAATGAAATAAGGCCATTTGCATCACCATAGATGGACCTAGAGATCATCATACTAAGTTAAATAAGTCAGATAGAGAAAGCCAAGTATTATATGATATCATTTATATGTGGAACGTAAAATGTTATATAAATGAACTTATTTACAAAACAGAAATATAAAAAAAAAAAAAATACCAAAAACAAAATGGAAATATACCCAGAGATAGAGAAAACAAATTTATGGTGACCATAGCATAAAAGTGGGGAAGGGTGAGGGATAAATTAGAACTTTGGGATTAACAGATCCACACTACTGTGTATAAAATAAATTCAATTTTTAATTTAGTTTTCTGTGTTTTAGGTGTATGTTTACTAATTTGGCAACCTGTAGCTAACAGGCCAATACAGGCAATATAATTAAGAGAACTGTTAATGAGATAAGTAGGTAATATATATGCAGATCCAGTAACTATTTTTTTCTAAGCCTCATTAACTGGTAGGGGTGGGCTGGACCGGGAAGGCCCAGCGGTTGCCATGGGAACCCAGCTCGAGGGGGAAGGAGGGCCTGGGAAGGGGGAGGAGAGAGGCCCCTAGACTCTGGACTCCAGGTGGGACTCAGAAGTGGGGGAGGGGAGGGGAGGGGTCACCGCTGGAACAGGGTGGCCCCAGGGGTGTTTACAGAGTGGAGAATGAGATGCAGGGTCGCGGTGAGCAGTTCAGCTCGGGGGAGTAATCTTTTCTAGCTCATTGTGTCCTTGCAAATATCAGATGATGTTTATAAAGCATATGGTGCATTTCTGAGGTTTCCATGGTGACAGGCCGACACTAGGCAAGAGAATCACCTGTTCTGATGGGGGGATGGACTTGATGAAAACGCAAACTCTTGAGGCTTTCCTCAGCCCGAGGAAGTAACTCTCTTGGTTAGAGAACTGTACTTCTCGAGGTGTAGCAGGAATCTCTCTTAGCCTTCTGTCTGTCTATCTCTCGCTCTGTCCATCTGTCTCTATGAATATACCTGACTTGTTTGCTGTTCAATACTGGCTGAATTAAAATTATTCTTCCTTGACTGTCATCTCCCACCCGCTCCAGTGTGTCCCGTGAAAGCAGAGGTCTTTCCATCTGCTTCCTTCAGTTCGTGGAAAACCACAGTTCTGGCTTGAATGGGGTCTCCCAAGACTCAGATTTTGAAGTCCTAGCCCCTAGCCCCTCAGAATGTGACTGTGTCTGGAGACAGGGTTTTTAAAGAGGTGATTAAGTTAGAACAGGGTCATTAGGATGGCTCCTAATCCCATCTGGCTGTTCAGTCGCTCAGTCGTGTCCAACTCTTTGCAACCCCGTGGACCGCAGCACGCCAGGCCTCCCTGTCCATCACCAACTCCAGGAGCTTGCTCAGACTCATGTCCATTGAGCTGGTGATGCCATCGAACCATCTCATCCTCTGTTGTCCCCTTCTCCTCCTGCTTTCGATCTTTCCCAGCATCAGGGTCTTTTCCAAGGAGTCAGTTCTTCTCATCAGGTAGCCAAAAAGGATTGGAGTTTCAGCTTCAGCATCAGTCCTGCCAGTGAATATTCAGGACTGGTTTCCTTTAGGATGGACTGCTTAGATCTCCTTGCTGTCAAAGGAACTCTCAAGAATCTTCTCCAACACCACAGTTCGAAAGCATCAATTCTTCAGTGCTCTCTGGTGTTCCTATAAAAAAAGGAGATTATCAAGAGGGAGAGCACATATGTATACCTATGGCTGATCCGTATGATTGATGTATGGCAGAAACCGACACAATATTGTAATTATCCTTCAATTAAAAATAAATAATTTTTTTTTAAAAAAGAGGAGAGTAGAACATAAAAACACAGAAAGAAGACCATGGCCATTTACAAGTAGAGTCTTCAGAAGAAACCAAGGCTGCTGACACCTCGATCTTGAGCTGCCAGAATGAGGAGAAAATCAATTTCTGTTGGAAGGCCCACTCCCTGCCCCCAGTCTGTGGTACTTTGTTATAACAGCCCTAGCAACCTAACACACTCACCCATTTTTTTTTAAAAGGTTGTGTTTAAAAAGCAAGAAACAGTCTGAAAACATGTGCTTATAATTGATTGGAAAACAATTACTTAACATCTTAGAACCACCATAAAGTCTACAAATATTAATGATAAATGCTAGAGAGCATGTGGGGAGAAGGGAACCCTCCTACACTTTTGGTGGGAATGTAAATTGGTGCAGCCACTATGGAGAACAGTACAGAGGTTCCTTAAAAACCTGAAAATAGAGTTAACATATGATCCTGCAATCCCACTCCTGGACATAAGTCTGGAGAAAAACGTGGTTTGAAAGGACACATGCACGCCAAAGTTGTCTGCAACACTGCTCACAGTAGCCAGCGAAGTGTCCATCCACGAGGAATGGACAAAGAAGGTGTGGTGTGCACACTGGAATATTACTCAGCCATGACGAAGAATGAGGTACTGCCATTCGCCGCAACTTGGAAGGACCTATAGACTGTCACACCGTCACAGGTGAAGCAAGTCAGAGGAAGGCAAATGTCATATGAGATCATTTATATGTGGAATCATAAAAGATACGGATGAACTTACAAAACAGAAATATGACTCACAGGCATAGAAAACAAGTTTATGGTTACCAAAGGGTCGAGAGGGGAGGGATAAATTAGAAGTTTGAGATTAACAGGTACACCCTATTATATATAAATAGATAATCAACAAGGTCCCACTGTAAAGCACGGGGAACTCTACTCAATATCTTGAGTAGAGATATAATAATCTATAATGGAAAAAACTATATATTATAGGAGATTATAAAATATATAGCATATATAAAAAATGCTTCCCAGGTGGCACAGTGGTAAAGAATCTACCAGCAATGCAGGAGATGAGGGTTCCCTTTCTGGATTGGGAAGATCCCCTGGAGAAGGACATAGCAACCCACTCCAGTATTCTTGCCTGGAAAATCCCATGGACAAAGGAACCTGGCAGACTACAGTCCATGGAATTGCAGAGTCAGACTCGACGTAGCGACTAACCAACAACAACGTAGATACATATGTATAACTGAATCAATTTGCCATCACCTAAAACATTGTAAACCAACAATAAAAGATGGAAAAACTTACATTAGAAACTCTTTAAACAAAACCCTGCAGGACTCAAAGGATCTGGACTTTGGAGACCCATGTGTGAATTCCGGCAGAAATGCCGATCCACAAACTGGGTCTGTTGTTCCCAGTGCTTAGTGGGACTCCCATCCGGTTATCCCCCCGGGAGTGTGGGCAGCAGTCAGGAGGAAACACGTGGCCTTGGGGTGAGTGGTGGGAAATGGCAGCATCATTCCCTCTTCAGTGCCCTCCCTGCCCCACCCCCAAGCCCATGGGCATTCCACACTCCCCAAAGGAGCTGGAGCAAGAGTTTGAAGCCCTCACGCAGACCAGTGACTTTCCCTCTGCCACCCGAACATGCATCTTTGCAGTGGACTTTCCAGGGGATATAGAATGAAATCCCACGTCCTCACCCGGACAACATCCTGGAGGAGGAATTTGCAAGCATCTACAAAATTCACAGGCACATTTTCCCTCTGGCCCACAGGCCATTGATCAATACTTAATCTAAACCACAAGCACATGCAACCTTGAATCTGCAACGGCTCCCTGAGTTCATCCAAGAGTCAGAGCAGAATTCGGGTGAAATAACATCTGTGCAGTCATAGATCGTTCACTGCACTGGGGCATTATCGTCGTTATTTCTGTAGCAGAAACACAACAGAAATGTGTCAGGAAGTCAGCCTGTGAAATTACAGCAAATCCACTCGTGGAACGTTCCATAGCCGTTAAGAATGCAGAACATCTTTGTGCCTGCAAGGAGCTCAAACCCGTCAATCCTAAAGAGAATCCACCCTGAAGATTCATTGGAAGGACTGCTGCTGACACTGAGGCTCCAGTAGTTTGATCACCTGATGGGAAGAGCCAGCTCATTGGAAAAAACCCTGATGCTGGGAAAGATTGAAGGTGGGAAGAGAAGGGGATGACAGAGGATGAGGTGGTTGGATGGCATCACCGACTCAATGGACATGAGTTTGAGCAAGCTCCGGGAGCTGGTGATGGACAGGGAGGCCTGGCGTGCTGCATGCAGTCCATTGGGTCGCTAAGAGTCACACATGCCTGAGCGACTGAACAGCAACAGCTCTGAGCCTTAATGCGGGATCAAGACGTGGTGTTCAGTGATAAGGACAGAGTGTCCAACAGCACAATGCCAGCCACGCTCTG